AGAGGGAGAAAGAAAGGGAGAGAGAATGAAAGACAGATAGAAAGGAAGTGAGAAAGAAAGAAAGAAAGACAAAAAGAGAGAGAGAGAGAGAAAGAAATAAAGAGAGAGAGAGAGAGAGAGAGAGAGAGAAAAGGGCGGGGGACGGCGAGAGAAAGATACAGAGATGTTCTCAGCGTATACAAAGGGAATGTTTTAGAGAACAATGAATAGGTATACCTAGTGTGCGTGCTTAGGTGTGTCCTGCGTGCAGGCGTGAGTAAAGTTTCAAGCCTTGCGACTGAAACTGAAAACAAACACGTTTGTTTTTGAGGCGATGGAGTCGGGGCGATCCTAGCCGTAGTGGGCACCCCAAACCCGATTTAATGGCGCTCGAAAACGCTAAAAATTTACTGAGCACAGACGAATTAGATCTAAAGTTTATTTACAAGCGCTTTATATACGGTTTGCGTGACGTCACCCGACTGGACTGTGGACAATTTTAAATGGTCATTCCAGAGGTGGCTTTTCACGGTAGACAAAGACTAATTACATGTAGCGAAAATCCTGCTATAACGGACATTTTGCTCCAGTCCCCTCCCTCTCGTTATAACAGGATTCCACTGTACATTTTTTAAATCAGCGTCGTCAAATTAGGTTGGTCATCGAGCAGAATTACATTTTAAGCAATATTTTGGAAATTTCAATGTATCTTTTATCCGCAAATAAATGCTTCATAAATACCAGCTGTGTTGTGGTGCAATTATTTACTTATATCTAGATCTAGGTTTAAGGCGCCCTCTATGAGGAGTCAAGAAGACACCTACAAGCGCCTGTCCGTGTCGGTCTTCAGCCGCTTAAGTAACTCTATGTTATCACCCCACGTCGCTACACTATGAATGTAATTTGTACTCTAAACTCATGTTACTTGTGTTACTTGTGTGAAGGACCGACATCACTGCACAAGGGGCATCCCCATAAGCGCTCCGTCACTCTAAACTCTTATTCCACACGAGGCGTTACATGATCTCTTCTCAATTATCTAACAACATAATTATACCTGCCGACCCCATCGTTAGCCCCAACATTCCCTTCGCCAGTCCTCCCCCCC